GCGGTTGAGGTTTCGTTTGGTCCTTCATGGTCGCCAATTTTTTTGACTACATATCGGTCGTTACGCAAAGCTTTTATAATTTGATAAGGTCCTAAAAATTTCGATGCACATTTCAATCCTGTTCCCTTCTGTGTTCTCTTAATTGCTACTAAGTCATCCTCGCGATACTGTTTCGTTTTTTTACGACGCTTATTATAATTTCGTTTATTTTTTTCCTGTGTGCGTTTTATACATTCTCGCGCCTGCTCTCTCAACTCATCTCGATCATTGCTAAACATCGCTTCCATTTCTTCTTCGATTAACTCTCTCAATTGGGGATTATCTCTCAGTCTTATATGCGTACCAAACATTAATTGAAAAGGGGTTTTACCCGTGCTTCGACTTGGTACCGCATTTATATATTGTTGGGTTTTATTTAGATATTTATGCCACTCGCCCGCCCTCGGAGCGGCTAACTTTGTCAACACCGGTATCAATGTTTGATTTATTCTCTCTACTTGCCCGTTCGCTCGAGGAACGCCCGTCGTTATCCGTATATGCTCGATATTTTCTTTTTTACAATATTCGTTAAATTCATTGGACGTAAAGGCAGTTCCTCGATCCGAAATAATTCTCCTCGGGTTTCCAAAGTTAACAGCTAATTTCTCTAATTTATCTATTACTTCTGCTGTGCCGGTCGATCGCGTTCCGAAAAACCATACAAATTTAGAGAATGCATCTACAATGACAAGAATATGATGATATCTTTTTTTTTGTCGAAGGAAGCGGTCCCAAATGATCGATATGATATGTTTCGAGAGGTACATGACCTTTCGGTATCGGATTTAGGTAGCCGTCCAATTTACCTGTTTTTCTATTCGCTAGAATACAGTTTACACAATTTCGCATTATTTTTTCAACTACTTTACGCATATTAGGAAACCAATAATTTTGTCTAATTAATGCCTCAGTTTTTTCTGCCGCAAAGTGACCATTTTCGTGTGCTTGTCGAGCTACCTGAGCTTGTAAGCTTTTTGGCACAATCAATTGTAGATCTCCTTCATTTTCTTTATATAACAGCCCGCCTCTCACTACATAGCCGTCTCTTTCTCCTTTATTTGCTAACGAATAAATATCTCGCAAATTTATGTCCTCTTTTTGAGCTTTACGAATTCTTACAATCATACTCTCCTCCGATTCGCTTATTAGCATATTATGCGGTAACGGGTTTCGACTTAAGGTATCTACATGAATCATATTTTTACCCGGACGATGCGCAATACAATAGTCGAACTCTTCCAACAACAAAGCCCATCTAGCAACGCGAACACACAGATCTTTTTTATTCATTGTCAAAGCGAATGCTTGACAATCAGTAACAATTTTAAACTTAATTCCCAGTAAATAAACTCTAAATTTTCGCAGTGCCTTTATTATCGCTAAAGTTTCTAACTCATAACTTGTATATTTCATTTCAGTATCCGTGGTTTTTCCGCTCGCGTAGTAAATCGGATGTAAAGCACCATCGTCATCGCATTTTTGAAATAATATAGCACCGAAACCGTACATTGATGCGTCGGTGTGCAATTCTGTTTCCGCTTTTTGCTTATACAACCTCAACACTGGGTTCTCGCTCAATATTAGTTTCAATTTATCAAAGGCCTCCTTTTCTTTCGCACCGAACTCGAATTTTACATTCATTTTTAATAAATTACTCAAAGGTCTGGCTATCCGCGCATAATTGTTAATAAATTTTCGAAAATATCCGGTTAGTCCCAAAAAACTTTGTACTTGTTTTATTGTTTTCGGTTGTGAATATCTTATCACGGCTTCCGTCTTATGTTCTGTCGGTCGCATCGAACCGTTTTCAATAATTACACCCAAAAATTCGACTCTAGTCTGTAAAAATTTACATTTTTTCCAATTGATATTTAATCCGAATCTCTCGGCAACGCCCAACACTTTCTCAAGACCTGACAACGCGGCTTCAAAATCCGTAGATGGAATAATCAGATCATCCACATATGTCAAAACCACGCCGCCCCTGATTAGCTCTCGAAAGGTCTGGTTTATGAATCTCTGAAATACTGCCGGAGAATTGCACAAACCGAAAGGCGCGCAGAGAAACTCGTATTGTCCGTCTGGCACTACGAAGGAGGTATACTTTCTACTCTCCTTTTCCATCGGCACATGAAAAAATCCGTTTTTTAAGTCGATCGTACTAAATATTGACGCCCCTTGTAATGCATCTAATTGATCGTCAATTAATGGAAGTGGGTAACGATCCTTTATTATTTTCTTATTTAGTTGTCGATAATCGACACACAACCTAGTCTCTCCCGTCCCCTTTTTAACTAGAACTACCGGACTCGCGTATTCTGAAAGTGAGGGTTGAATTATACCCTTGTCTAACCATTCGTTTATGTGTGCGGTAACCTTTTCTTTTTCCGACGGAGATAAACGTCTAGGCCTCTGATAAACCGGTTCGTCATCACGAAGTATAATAGTCATTTTATATTCCGTCTCGCATTTTCTGGTAGGATTATATTTATTGATCATGTCGCTTACTTTATTTTCATTCTCGCTCGTCAAATGTGATAAATCGGTATCGCTAGACTCGCTCTGTAATTCGATTTTAAATATTTCCGGTAACTTTTCTGCCGCTCGAATCTCTGCGCGAGGTTTTCGCATCGTAATTTTTCCTTCTTCGACATACAAATTAATTCGGTCTAATAAATCAGTCCCTATGAGTAAGTCATACTGCAGCAATTCATTCGGTACTACCGATAGACTGGTTAAAAAACGTTCATCGTCAATTTCTACTTCGGTATCAAAACGTCCTTTAGTTTTAAAATTCTGTGTGCCTATACCACGAAACACAATTTCTTGATGGGTCAAATTCGGTGACCCTATTTTTATATATTGTTCTTCGCGAATTAATGATAAATCACTTCCCGTGTCAATCAAAGCTACTATATTCTCGTTATTTATTTTTACGTTTTTAAAATATTTTCGTTCCGTTTTCGTAATATCGTGCATACTTTTTATTTCGTTAATTCTAGTTTTTTTTTTTCGCAATTTGCTGCAATATGTCCAAACTCACTACATTCAAAACATCGCGTATCTTTCGCTTTTGACGGACAATTCGCTGCACGATGTCCCTGCGCTCCGCAATTATGGCATCGCATCGCATTCCTTGTCGCCCCTGACTCTTCTCGCTCGGCACGTCCCTGGACACGCCGTTCCCTCTCATTCCTTCGCGCTCCCGACTGCTCTTTCCCTCGCAGCGATACCCTCTCGAACGCCTCAATTAGCGACCTTCTAGTACGCAGCCGCTGTACTCGTGCTTGGTCTCGTAAGACTGGATCCGGAATCCCTTCGATGACATATTCGACCATCTCGCTTTCCTCAATTTTAATTCGATTTCCAAGAATCACCTTCTGATGTAGGTACTCATTGAATGTCTCCTCTCTTCGCCAAATACGCTGCTCAAACTGCTTTCTCACATGCACTCTTCCCGGCTCATGGAAAAACATATTTTTTAACTCGTTTAACAGCTCGTCGACGGTAATCTCGGTATACGTTGGGCTAGAATGCAACCATTCTTGTGCTTTGCCCTTCAGGCGTGCTCCGATCAGGATTCTCGTCAGGTCGTCGGTCAAGTTGTAAGCGCCTCTCAATGATTCGACACGCTTCTTCCAGGATTCGAATGCGCTGCTGTCGCCCTCAAAATATCCCAACAGGCTTGCAATTGCGTTTATGTTGGTTACGCCTGCTTCGTGAGAGATCGTCGGACTCCTTGCAGCCACCTCATTTCTCAATTCTCCTCCATCAGTATTCACATTTTGGGTGCGTCTCAACAAATCGTTTTCTTGTCGCATCAATCGCAGCTCGCGCTCCATCAATCGTTTTTCTCTTTCACAAAGTTCCATTGACCGTCGCAGATACTCAACCTCAGTATCATGTATGCTCGATTCGTCCACTTCACCGCTCTCCTTCGTTCCTCTCGTCTCTATCGTCTCTCTCACCCCGTCCTGCTCCTCCTCATTCGTCACTCGCAACATCCAACTGCCCGCTGGATCTTCTTCAAAAAGTCTGGCAATCAACTCGTGCTTCGCGCCAGTTATCGTCAAGCCCTTCTCTCGCAGTATTTCTCTTAGTTCGTTGACGGTAAATCTATTCGCACCTCTCTCAGCGTGCGCCATTGAAAAATCGGTACTCGTCCAAATTCCCTACTTCAAGCTGCAACCGCTCGCAGTCCCACGCAGCGTCAACTCGCGTCAATCCCGGACGAGCCCCCAAAATTGTAGGACTTTTTTTAGACGAACGGTATCAAATGAAAATTTTTTAAGTCTTTATAAAATAAAATATATTCAATAGAAATTACAAGAGAATTCGGTAATTATTCGGTGATGTTCACGGTAACGAAATCGAGCGAGGACTGTCTAACTTCTTCTGCTCCTCGACAGCCCATTGCCTGTATTTATATCCCTTTTGTCGGTTTCTAGACTGTTCTTCAATTTTCAGTTAGTTCCCTAACTGCTGCCCTCGTCAAGGCAATCCTAACTTATTTATAAACAAAGTCATGCGAGCTGACTCACTTTGCCTTGTTCGTGTCCTTATTATTGTAAAGAGTTTGTCTCTCGCAAATAACAAGTGAGACAAATATTATCGTTCGCTTATACACAAAAATCATTCGCTCGATATAATTATATTCTAAAATAATCCCAATCCTACAATATTAATCAGAAAAATCTTAAAATTCTTCCAATACCATGTATTGTCCCACGATTACCTCTTATCCAGAACCCTTTAAGAAATCAAGGATCTGTTTCAACATAGTCGAATCAGTTTCAAACTATAAGAATACATAGACTTCTGATAGTCATAGAATTTTGTTTGCTCGTCTATTTTGGTCGCAAACTGATGTTGGACTCGTCTTTTATTTTCTCTCAGAAAATATAGTCATCGTAGCGATAAGTGACTAAAATGTCTGGTGGTATTGATTGAAATACGTGTCTTGTATTCTGCAGAGGAGTGGTTTGCAGTCCGCGATACCGTGGAGCAACTACTTGCCGGGGGTCGTCGCGGGGTCGCACCGACGCATCCTCCAAGCAGGAGTCACGGGGCACCGCCGGTCTTGGGGCCGCATCCCGCTGCAAGTCATCGAGGTCACTCGGGTCATCCGAGCGGTACCCCGGGCGGGGCTCCGGCCGCCGCCGCGCACGTAGCCAACTGCAACTTGAGTATATCTCAGCAACGGGAGCGCGAGGAGCGAGAGATCCGGGAGATCCGCGAGCGGGAGACCGAGAAGCAGCAACAGCGCTCGGGGATCGAAGCCAGGGATCACATGCGGGATCACATGGCCGCGCACCACAGAGCCACCTACTACACGCTCACGGGTCACGCGAATGTACCTACACAGGTACTATTTTTACCTCATCTTCTGGGAATAAAGTTTTTTTAATTTTTGTCGACGTTGTTAATTATTTAGTGACAACGTGAACATTAAACATTTATTTTGGAATAATACTTTGCTGAATCATGTATATCATGTTTTTCTATCAATGTTTCTTTTCAGGTGCCGCGACCCTCGAGCGTGCCCGGAAAGGTCGACTACCCGCCTCCGCCGGCGCACACGCGGTTGACGAAGCCGCCAGGTGCTCTTCACGAGAAATCATCCACTGTAGTTGGCTCGTCGCACAGCTCATTACCGAAAGCCGAGCCGAACGTGAACCTGTTCAATTATTCGTCGACGTACCAGCCGTCCTGTCCGACGTACCTGCCGCCGCACGATCTGAAGAACGAGCTGCGACAGTCGTCGTCAAAGTCTCAGCCGGGCAAGAGCGGGCTCGCCGGCGACCACGAGAGGGACCACCACGGCAGAGAGGTGCTGCAGAACCCGCCGTCACTGCTGCCGGATCACAAGAGCTCGGTGATTGTGAAGAACGAGGGCAGGGAACTGGCGAAAGCGCCGACGCCGCAGCAGCTCGCCCCGATGAACGCGAGAAGCTACTTGCCTCTTCAACCAATGCCGCACAAGTCATACGAGCCGCCATTCAGGAGTTTGACGCAGAGCCCGCACCATCTGCATCCCGCGCATCCTATGGAAAGTCTACAGGCGGCGAAGAGCATCGTCTCGTCGGCGAGTCATCATCGGGGCGGTAGCGGCGCGCCGACGACGACGACGACGACGCAGCAGCAACTGCCGAGTCCGCACAGCCATCCGCCACCGCCGCCAGCGCCTCCCGAACCGCGTCTGCATTCGCATAATCCCGTCAATCCCCGCACGCCCTGCCGTCGCAGCATCCGCATCAACCACCCCCGCCGCCGCATCCTTCGCCACCCGAACCGCGCTATCTCAACAGGTCGGAAGCAGCGGGTCTGCCGTACGGCGCGGCCAAGTCCACGTATTCGTACCCGCATCCGCCCACGGCCTCGCCGACGCCGTCGTCGCACTACACCACGCCGCCGCCGGCCGGCTCTAAGCCGAAAGTCAGCAGCCCGGCGCCGCCGCACATTTACGGCAAGCCTAACTCCGGTATCATGACCGGCACGCCGGTCTGCCGTGCCTCCGAGCCGCCCGTCGCCGCACCGATACCATTGACCTCGAAGGCCGGCAGTTCGCCTTACCAGCAAGTGCCTCATCATCACGGGGCGCCGCCGCCGCCGTTGCCGCCGCCCGCGCATAGCCGGCCGCCGATTTACGACGGTCGCTACGTCGGCTCGTTGGCGAGCGCAAAACTGCCGCCACCGCCGTTACACGGTTCTCCACCAACGGCCGCCTCGGCGCCGCTTTCGAGGCCGATCGCCCACCCCGCTCATCCCGCTCATCTCAGTACCAGTCCGCATCAGCAGTCAGGTCAGACGTTGCAGCACGCGCAGTCCCAGATCACTACGGCCTTCCAGACGCAACCGCTCGACCTCGGTGTGGAGAGATCGGGCTCGCCCAAGAGGAAAGCGCCGACGCCATTGTGCGACGGTAACAGTCAGCCGGTGTCGTTGGAAGTCTTCAAGAAGAGAAGAACCGAGGAACCGCAACCATTGTCCTTGCAATGCGTCGGCCAACCCGTTCTGTCGAGGGTGAGCGAACCAAGTCCGCTCATTGCCTCGGCCGCCACGTCCATCACCACGGTCGTCAATACCGCGGCGTTGCTGGCACAGTCGAATAGTCAAACGACGCAGGAGCAACGCACGGTGACGGCTGTGAGCCTGGCACCAGGCGCCGCTAGCGGTGACGGTTCCACGCGACCCGCCAGCACCGGTAGCGTTTGCTCGCTGAACCCCGCGCCATTGAGCGCTGCACCTAGCCCAGCACCTATACCCAGTCCGGCGCCATCTACAGCTCCCAGTCCGGCGCCCAGCGCGCCCGGCACTCCCGCCAAAGTAAACCCTAGTACCGGGGCGGACAGCGAGAAGTCCAACAGTCCGGCACCGAGGCCGCCTAGCAGTACTAGTTATCCGGGGCACAAGTTGAAGAAGGCGTGGCTGCAGAGACACTCGAGATGCGAGGACGGCACCGAGAATATCAGCAATATGGTCAGCAGTGTCACGTTACCCTTGAATATCTCCAGGGAGACGCCGTCGTCGAACAGCAAGGATCGCGACAGCAGCAACACGTCGAATGCGAACAACAGCAACGCGCCGACCACCTGCTTACCTAGTGCGGTTAATTCGATTCACAATATTGGTAGCATGGCGGTGAATAGCATTCAAAAGAGCAAGGTCACCGGCAAGAGTGGTCGGAAACCAGCGAACAAGGAGTCGCTGAACGGTCACGCCACGGACACTAGCAAAACCCCGCAAGAGGACTCGTCCAGCAGCGACCCGGAGAGGAAGTCGCCGCCAAAACGAAAGCCACCCAAGGTATCTATCTATACAAATCGTTTACGGTGGCCATTGTAGTTGTCGCTGAAAATTACTCTTGTTCTTAATTGCGTGTGTTGTGTGTTGCCTATTCGCTTGCCTAGAAATTTGTCAAGAAACTGTTGTTGTCGTTGAAACTCTCTTATCAGTTGAAAATGCACGTAAATTTCTAATAATAGATATGTAAGGATGAGGCACGAAAATTCATTCTCGAACTGATGTTATTCAATTTTCTTTTTGATTCACTGAAAAATGGTTGATTTGTGAAGAGATTGTATCTCTATCAGATATGATGTACGTTTTATAAATGTTGGATTTAAATCTATTTAACAACATATTATTGAGAAAAATTTTTTAAATATATTTATATTAATTTATATTTTATATATTTTCTCAATAATTGTCTTAATATATGAACTGTAATATATTTAAAGATTTTTCAATTAGTACTTTGTCATGAGTGAATAACTATAAACGTGATTATTATAATCACGAGTATTTGAAATTACTTAGCGCTAATCATTTGTTTAATAATTTGTTGGAATCGATAAAATTCGTATTTATGAGTTGTAGCAATAAAACGTGCCTTAAAGCTCATTAGTAGATATCATAGAAGCATGAATAAACAGTAGTTTGATTTGCTATGCTGCAATTTTTAACTTAGACTGTCGTGTAAGACATACTTGATTATTAAACATTTTTTATTTTGCAATTTTGAAAAAAAATTCATATTAATAATTATATGATTCAAATTATAAATTCGATTTTTTTTGCACTTTTGTTAAAATTTTATTTGCATTCATCATAGGATTAAATTCGCAATTAAAATATCATGTTAAATTAACTCACAATTAGATTTGCTCGAACATTTCTTTTATCTTATGTATTTGATGAATTTTTAATATAAAGTAATATCACGGGTCAACAAATTTTATATTAGAATTTAATAAAATTTTATTTAAAATACAGTTTATTAAAAATGTTTGAAAAAGTACAATTCTAAAATGAATATAACAAAATTTTTCAGAATTAAAAAAGTTTTATTAAATTCCAGTATGAGAAAGTATTTCTTTTCAATTTTTGTTGGAAGAAATCACATTAAAATTTTGACATTTTAAATAGCAAAAATATATTAATTAATGAATATATTTATTATATTAAATATTTTATTATATTATTATATTATTTTTTTCTCTCTAAATCACTAATTTAAAAAAATTTTAAAAAACTTTATAATCTGGTGTGAGTAATTTGGACATTATTTTTTAAAGCTAATAAAAATCTATAAAAAACACCTACTCTTATTCGAATTACACATTTTTTCGTCGACTTGTATTTAATATTTTAAAACAATAATATTTAAATGGAATATTCGAGAGAAAGAAAATTAGTAGAAAAATTCCTAAACTGTTACACAAATATACATATATATTTCGAGTTGTGTCTATACTTTATCGTTGGTGACATTGCTTATGGAGTATTTCAAATTTTTTTCGCAAGTTTCTCTCTCGAGCGGTAAACAATTATTCCGAGTCAGTACCGGCTTTAGGGTAGGGCGCAGTGGGGCGACTGCCCGGGGCGCCGGATCTGTAGGGGCGCTGCTGCCCGGTGCCCCATAGAGTCCCTCTAATAAGATGTCGCGACTCTTATTAGAGGAACTCTAATGCCCCCTAGTATGCAAAAGTACCTATATCTCCTCACTGTGTTATACCCTGACATGCTCTCTATACTTTTGTATATCTTTTGATTCTTTTGTCTCACATCTGTATTTATCATGGCTATCGCGTTCTCCGCTTTGTGCGGATCCTCATCGCCACGCTTGACGCTCGACTCCCTCATCACGCGGGCGCCTTCCGTAATCTCTCAAAAACTCTAGTTAAGCTTTGTCCTCTAAAAACCCGAAATAATAAAAGTATATAAAATACAAAAAAATACAAAAAATAAAAAAATATAAATATATAAAAAAACAAAAGCAAAAAAGGAACTACAAAAACTTCTACGTCCACGTCGTTAGCTCTGGGTAAAGCTAAGGAAAGTTTTTGAATTTTATATGCGTGCATTCGTTTATATCCGTTTAGACTAGTAAAAATATCGAAAATTGAATGGGCGCCACGATAATCTTGCCCAGGGCGCCAATGTTGCTAAAACCGGCACTGTTCCGAGTTAACGCACGGCACAGTAAACCAAGTTTAAACTCGCGCTATAAGCGCCATTTTCCTGCGCGAGGCGTGTATTGCGGTATGAATCATACTTTGTAACGGACTGAGCGCGGGTTCTCGTAAGTGTTTCCTCGTCGCACGTTCCTTTGTCGAACTGCTAATTAATTCGTCCGCGGTCGCGCGAATAACGTCCAGCATTAGAGCGGATCTCTCGTCATGGTCAAGTTTCGCAAATGGGTAAATATATTTTCGTTGTTCACGTATTGTTTCATCGACAATATTGCGACCTAACCTCTTAAACTCTCGCAAAGTGGTTAGAGAAATCGGTGAATTTTATTTCATCGGAAGATTTTACGAATTATTTGTCGAATTCTGATGACAGCAATGATAATTTTGTATTGAAATCGAAAAAAGAAGTACTCCAAAAAAATAATTCCACTGTACCTTATACATACACAAAACTCCACGCGACACAAAGAAAGTCATGAGGACACACGTGTTGAAGATGAAAATATAAATTAAACGAATGTTAAATATGTAAAGTTAACGTTGAGTAAAATTATGGACGAATTATATAAGGTTTATTTAAAATGAAGAATATTTAAATATAATTTTGTGCATGCGATAGATGTTTTACTTTTGTATATATAGATTTAAATAGATTTTTGGAGTTATATGGGGAAGAACAAATTATTACATATGTGAGATTTATAAAATAAACAAACATGTTTGCTATCAGAAAAATTTAATAATAATGTCCAATGTTAATTTTATTTTTGAATATATGAGAAGACTAAAATTGTATAATAGCAATTGTGTAAAAAATTTTCTTTTCTTCAGCACATGTTGAATTCTTTTTCATTTTTTTTGTGTTGTATAAAATTATATAATATATGGATGCATTTACAAATAGTTTTGTAGTATTCAAATGAAAGAATATATTTAAATATAATTTTGTGTATGCGATGTTTTACCTTTGCGTATATGAATTTGAATAGATTTTTGGAGTCGTATGGGGAAGAACAAATTACATATTTGAGATTTATGAAATAAATAAATTCTCCATATTTGACAAATAATATCACACATATGTGTTATTCACTATCAGAAAAATCTAATAATGTTCAATGTTAATTTTATTTTCGAATATATGAGAAGACAAAGATTGTTTAATAGCAATTGCGTAAAAGATTTTCTTTTCTTCAGCACACGTTGACTTCTTATTCATTTTCTTTGTGTTGTACAAAATTTTATAATAGATGGATGTATTTACAAATAGTTTTATGAATTAAAGGATGAATGTTATGCGATAGTTGCTTAAGTCTTTTGTATCTGTAGTAGCATTACATAATTTTTAACTTTGCTTAGATTTGAATAGACTTTTAGATTTTATGTGCCGAATGGTAGCGCCGGAGCAGTAGTGTGAGCAGTTAGTAGCTTCGGCTAGTAGATGCGGCAAGAGCATGAACTTCCTGACTACTTAATAATCTATGCCCTGTGGTAGGTAAAACGAAAGAAGGGCGCCGCACGAAGGCAACAAACGGCCGCGGAAGATCAGCGGAGGCGAAAAGAGGACAAGCAAGGCGGCGGAGCTGGTGCAGGCAGCGAGTCCAGCAACGAGAGCGAGGCGGGCTCCGCCAGTGACACCAGCGAACAATTGAGCACCATTCAACCTGCTTCGAGGGTTCGACATACCACGGCCAATTCCAACAATTCCTCAGGAAACGGTTAGTTGACGTAGCTTGTTGTAAATGGACTTCCCATCAGGTGAACTAACTATTCACTTGCAGGGTAAGTGAGATCCGTGTTCCATGATCGTACAATTATTTCTCTCTAGAGCTGTACGAGAACTCAAGAGAATCAAGAGTGATTGACAAACAGATTAATTTATGCATCATTTGTGGAATTTCCATCTTTGCTAGAAGAAAACAAAGTTTATAAAAGAGCTCTTGGATCTTTTATGTTTTCTTCGAATTCACCATTTTTAAATTTTATAATTCGATCTCACGCACTTACCCTGATTTCCATTTACATTATTACATTAGTATACATGCATTATTAAAAAAATAAGTGTATATATGTACACACACTTCACTTATTTTTTAAATAACATATACATGATGACAATATAAAACAATTGATAACATTGTGATATTTATGAGCTTTTTAACACTGAATTGCACTATAATCACACGATTTAAAGTAACGACTTAGACTTATTTTAATAAAATCAAATACATGATTTATTAGCAGGAAATAAGGAGCCGAGGAAACGTGGTAGAAGACCAAAGACTACGAAAGGCAATGAAGTAGGAGGGGAAGATCAGCAGCCTCGTCAGAAGAAGGAACGTAGAGACGACAGTACAAGCGGCGGTAACAATGGACCAGGCGGAAGTGGCGGACGAGGTGATCCCTTTCGTAAACCACCGATATCGCAATTGAAGAAAACTGGGGAGAGCTGGCTGCAGGATGGCGCTTGTTTCGAGGTGGCTCCAAAGCTAGCCAAGTGTCGCGAGTGCCGATGGACGCCGCATCAGCGCTCCAAGAACCTTCCTCAAAACATCTTCTGCAGATTTTACGCGTTTCGCAGACTGCGTTATACCAAAAACGGACAATTGGCAATAGCGGGATTCAGCGACCCACACAAGGATGCATCCGAAGTAAATTATCTTTTCAAGATAATAAATTAGTCACATAATGATTACACTTGAATTGTAAGAAATCTTACAATTTCAATTCAAAATGCATGCCTCACCCTAGAATTATCATTACAATGTTACAGGATGATCTTCGATTATGGTTACCAGGAAAAGATAATCAAGAAACAACAGGAAAAGATGACAAATCGGAGAAAAACGAGAAAGACAAAGGTGACCGAGAAGATTTAGATTTAGAAATGGCTCATCGGCTGCTTCGACAGGTTGGCGATCAATTTTGTGATCTTTTACATCAAGAAAAGGACGCTCTTCAAGAACACATGGCTGAAGGTAAAATTTAAAATATTTTTTTAATTAATCTTTCACATGTTTTTCATATTAATATATTAACGTAAATGTCATACGTATCATCGATCAATAAATTGCATGCATTAATAAAACCTCGATTTGTTAAAATTAATGCTATCGATGTTTTTTTTTTTTTTTTTTTTTTTTCCCAACTTATTTGGTTTTTTATATTGTATATATTACATTTTATATAAATCACGATCACACAATAAGAGCGCAAAGATGTACAATTTTCAATTTTTGCACTTATTATTTGCAAAATTATAAACAAAAATATTTAAATGCCAGGCTGCATGTTTGCTTGCATAATTCTTTCGTTCGCATGTTTTAACGCTTTGCGCATCGATTATGATTATTTTTTGACAGCGAGTTCGGGGTTGTAGACGCAACAGTAGCATGGAAACGAGTGATCCAAGGTGTTCGAGAGATGTGCGACGTGTGTGAGACTACCTTATTCAATTATCATTGGGCCTGCGGCAAATGCGGTTTCGTTGTGTGCATCGACTGTTATAAGGTAAAATATGTTGAATACATACACTTTTTTCAATTAAACACTAGAAATTAAATGATGACAATATTACTTTTTGATACTATTATGATATTATAATATTTATAATATTTGTCGAGCTTTTTAACACTGATATTTATATAAAAATGCGTCGCTAATTTTTTTTATAAGGAGAAAATGTATTAATAGAAATGTATAAATATTTTAGGGACGTAAAAATGGGACAATCAAGTGTTGGGGCGAGAGTGGAAAAGACAGAGACGAATTCTCATGGCTTTTATGCACGAATAGACAAGCACATGAACCGGAACGGCTCATGCTCACGCAAATTATCGCTGGGGACAGTCTTTTGCGATTGGGGCAACGTCTGCACGACTGTCGTGGAGAATGGGGAATCCCCCAACATTGCGTTTGTTCTCTCGTAACTTCGACACAGTCCAACGAGATCCTTCGAAATCTGATCAAAGGTGATTCTGTGCTTGTTCTCAACGGAAATGTAAAGGATGCGAAGGAAGAGAAGAAGATAAATGAATCTAACGGTGCATCGGAAAGCAAGACCAACGGCGAGGATAAAAACTCACCGCTGAACTGGCTAGCGGATGTAGCGTTGCAGAATCAGGACAAAAACGAAAGCGGTTCGAGTTCGGATTCGGATGAAGATCGCGAGAACTTCTCAACATTACGGGAATTGCTCATCAGGCCATCGCACAAGTCAAATGGTAGCGGCGGATCCAGATCAAATTCGCCGACTACCAACTCGAGCGGTGGGTGTAAACGCTACTAGCGGGGCCAGCAATAACGCTTCGCAAAATAATGTCGCCAAATCCAAAAAATCAAAGATGGATACGCTGATGATGAAGGGTAATATCCAGTGTGATCGAGCATAGTGTGAAGAAGGAGGAAAGGGATAGCGTCTGGACGACGAAAAACCACGGGAGTTGAAGCATTTTGTGCGACGTTACAAGTGGACTCAGCGTGGCCGAGAGCCATTACCGATC